GGGAGCAGTTACAAAACTGCCAGAAACAAGCCATATTTCCGAGACAGTTGCGGGTGTCTAGGAAACATAAGTTTTGTCAAGTCATTAGCCATGTTTTCGAAACAGTTGTGGGTGTCTAGGAAACAGAGGTTTTGTCAAGTCGTTTTGTTTCAACTCCAGGCTTCAGTTACAGTTCCTATGGGCTATAAATACCCCTTAGGGCCATTATTAAGAAGGGGGCTGGGGAGCATAACAAGGCAGAAGTAAGCAGAGGGGATGATAATTTGAGCTTTTAGCAAACTCCGAGCAAGAAAGAGAGAGTCTTCATTCCTTGCGAATACCTTCAGGAGCTTTTGGCGATTCCTCAAGATCTAAACTTTAACTTGATCTTGGGAAGAGTGTTCATCTTACATTGATAAGATATTCACTTCTTTTCTTACTTCTTAAACGAAACAAGAATACCAAAACCTTCACGATTCAACTTGGATCTGTGATTTGGTCGTTCACGGATAAACCCCGGCACATTCAAAGATCCCACGCAAGCAGGAGTTGATAAACAATTTTTATGTTCATTTCTAGAGAGTTGTAACTTTTTATTTTTTATTGTGTAAGAAATTCTTATAAAAGACTAATTTTACTTTGAATCTGTAATCAATAAATGTGTAATGGATTCAGCAATGAAAACAACTTTCGACACATACACCAACCATAATTTGTTTTCGGATATGCTCCACCATTTGTAGTACACGTTACAATCGAGCTTCACGTATCCAGCTGTTAAAGGATTCTGTGACATTAGAAGTTATATAACCATATCTGCAAACATCAAAATAATAAAAAGTATAATGCATACAATATATAATAAAATTAACATGTAACTACAAAACGTAACCGTTAAGAGTGAAAGTTAACATATAAACCCGAAACCTAACATATAATAATGAAAGTTAACATCTACTAGTTATAGTAACATGTACAAAGGAAACTTAACATATATGCGAAAGAGTTAACATCTACTGCAAAACATCATAATGATTGAATGCAGTACCTACTGCTAGCGAAGAATATATTTGCCCATTGCTCTATCGAGTAATTAATTGCAATCTCATATGCAGATGGAGACATCTCATAACTTTTCTTCATGTAGTCGTTCCATTCTGCTATAGTGTATTTCTAGCAAGCATATTGGAGCAAATTCCCCAAAACTTCTGTGTCCTTTACCTTTATTCCCAAATCCTTTAGTTTTGATCTAAAATTTTCAAGTAGGTGTAGAACACATCTTGAGTGGATTGCTTTAGGAAAATATTCTCTTACGGCTTCTCAAATCTCATTGTCGACATTAGAAATAATTATAATTAGTGAGGGAGGATTGTATGGGTCTGACCTTTCATACAGTATGGATCACAGACCTTGAAAGAACCATCTCCAATTAGCTACATTTCCTGTTAGCATATGCAATACGCAAGTGAAAATATCCCTTGGTCTCCGTCCTACGCTATGGCGATGAGGAGCATGTCTTTGTATTTGTCTTTCAAAAAGGTCTCGTCCAAAAATTATAGGGATCTACATCCATTTAAGAAACCAATGATGCAAGCAACATAACATATGAACAGTTTTCTGAACCTTCCTTCATTCTATTTAATGGAAATATAGCTTCCTGGATTCCTTCACCATGTGCTCATACCTGTACATCAATGTCACCACATTTCATGTAAATATAATATAATGGAGCAAATATGTATTAATTTTTTAAAGTTAGCGTCTAACAGTGAAAGTTAATATCTAACTATTAAATGTATTATCTAACTGAGAAAGTTAACATCTTAACATAAAAGCTAACAGTTATTCATGAAACATAACATCCTACAGTGACAATTAACATATATCAATGAAACTTAACATGAAACATCTAAGGTTAATATATTGCACGATAAATCAATAACTAGCATTGTACTATAAGTGACTACTAATAAAATTTGTATATTTAATAAAAGGACTGTAAAATTTACCATCTTAATTGATCATACAACTCATAACTATAATAGTACATATCATCTTGTGCTCTTTCTTTGCCCCACCATATCTTACTATATTCAATTCTCAATCTATATCGAGTGAGAAACTCCTTTTGCACATCAATTGGATGGATTTTGGACCAAACCTTTAATACATGTCGCGATTGGGCTGCTATGAATTTGCGAGATGCCCATGATTATCTGACAAGTTAGTATGTTGTCTGCAACTGTGTTCATTCACAAACCTTTTGATTTCAATTCTTTTTTTATTTTTAACAGGAGAGGCATACAACATCCAAGGGCATCCATATGTCTCCTTATATCGACAATAAACTCGGATATGTTTGGGTTCATTCTTTATAAATTCATAATCAAACCTTTTCGCCATAGAATAGTATTACAAAGTTAGTCTTAATTCATTTATACTTTCAAATTGTTGTCCTTTTCACTTAATGTTGTGTGCCACCATTGAGGAATGATGAAAGTGTTGTTGAGAATATCATCAGCTCTCATTACATTCTCACCAGACGGACAATCATTTTGGATTCTCTCTGAATTAGAAGCATTTCGTGGAGGAGTAAGACTATATTCTGCATTCAAAGAGGTATTACTACTGCACAAATTAATGAGCCATTGAGATATCATATTCAACTATAATATAATATTATCTTCTGATATTTTAAATTAACAGCTCCTTATGTAAACTAACAGGTAACCGTGAGCGTTAATTGACTAGGAGTAAAATTAATATGTTTCGGTAAAACTTAACATAGAACAGTGAAATTTAATAGACTATACACATAGTTAACACGCTAGGAGGAAAGTTAACAACTTTATGAAAAAACTAACATGTTACTATGGAAGTTAACACGTTCGTGTAAAAGTTAACATATCTTGTTGAAACTTAACATTTTATAGGAAGAGTTAACATCTAACCATTAAAGATAACAATTATGTTTCATCTGTGCATTGAAACCTGAAATCACAAAGCTTACATCACACAAAGCACAATTTTAAAAAGAGTATTTATTACTTACATTTCAGTAAGAATTTTACTTTTTGATTTTTTCAGAAGTAGAACCCTCTATATTAACAACAGCTTACATGTGAATCTCCGTACAACTAATATTTCGATTATGCTTCTACATGCACTTCAAATCATCTTCATTGTTAACTAAAAAACTTAGGTTTGGGTGCATCTCAGATTTATATATCAATGATAAAGCATCTTGAGGCACTTTTAGTTTTTCAGACACATCAAATTTCAGTTCAAAAAAGCTTATTGTAGAATTTAGCATCAAGAATATAGCATTTTCGCCTAACGACACCATGCAAATCAAGTCTTTGACGACCATTGAGGGTTGTTGAAAGTAGGGCTAAGCACGGTTCGGTTCGGTTTGGTTTTTATCAAAATTTGAACAACCGAACCAAACCACATATTCTTCAAAACCGTACCGAACCGTTACAAGTCGGTTCGGTTCGGTTTGTTCGATTCTAAGTTCATCAAACTTTCAATAAAGTCTGTATTTCAATTGTTGTTGATGCAAAGATCATGACAATTACAAGAAATTAAAGCAGAAAGCATAACAATCTATCAATCCTTTAGTCTGAAATTAGTCAAGGTGATTTACTGCTGGGAGTTTCTTTGGATATTGACAGGGGTTGAGCATATTTTTTGACTTCAATGTTGCATGGGGCACTAAAGTGGACTTGCTCTCAAGTGTTGTGATCCAAGTCCCATGCAAACTAAGTGCAGTTGTTATTTTCATTTTAAATTAGAATCTTGATCAAATGAAAAGGGTTACCTATATTTTGTATGGCTGATATGATAATAAATAAACATGACCATCTGTGATTGTCGGTTTAATTGAAAGCTTACCCATGTTATTCCATAAAAGCTTACCTAAATCTGTGATTGTCGGTTCCATGAAAGCTCACTCAAATCTGTGATTGTCGGTTCCATGAAAGCTCTTACAGACGCCGGCTTCAAAAGAGAATGGAGACTTGGATTCGGGACTGAGTTGCAAAAGAGAAATTGCAGTCCTTGAAGGTCTTGCGGACGACGCGGAGGCTCGTGTAGTAGACGACGATCGCCTTCTGCTCAGCCGGCGGCGGCGACGGAGGTCTATGCTTGTTGGAGAGAGCAGATTTGAAGAATGGAGTTAGGGTTTAGGTTTCATCACTTTCATTTGAGGGATTTTATATGAACGGGTCGAGCATGTGGGTTACGGGTTAAAAATGTAGTGTTAAGCGGTCGGTTCGGGCAGTTCGGGTTAAAAAGTTTTCAACCCGACCCGAACCGATTTAATACTAAAACCGACCCAAACCATTAATTTTTGATCGGTTCGGTCGGTTTTTTCGGTTTGGACCGAACCATGCTCAGCCCTAGTTGAAAGTTATGAGGACAGTTATGAGGATTAATTGAGTGAATTTTTAGAGCATAAGGGGTTGTTGAAAGTTGAAGAATAAAAACCTAATATCATAAATGAGAGAGTGAGAGATAAAGCTATAAAATATACCCATGATGAGTTAGACCAGTAATGAAGGGAACCCGCGCTTTTTTCCCTTCATTTTCGCCGTCGAATCGCATTAATTGCGATGACAGAGATCACCGGCTTCATGGGTGAAGGAGATGGTTTCCTGGGTGAGAGAAGATGACATTTTCGGTAGACTGGTGAAAATACATAGAGTACATTTTTACAAAAGTGGGCTTTTGGGTTGGGCCACACTTTTTTGGCTTTTTTGGAGCTAAAGAGTAAGGAAAAAACGTTGATGGGGCTGTGCCATATCAGCGTCTTTTTTGGGGTCTTAACACATTTTCCCCTAAATATTTTATAAATAGCACCAAAAAAAAAAGAAAAAAAGAAAAAAGGGAAAAAAAACCCCAACAAAGGAAGACCCACAATTGTAAATATCGTCAAAAGCTGAGCCTCATCCAATGAATCAAAGAAAGTGATCCGTAGAAGGCAAGATTATAGAGCTCACGCTCACCTATTTATCCACACAAGCTTGAGCCTGAGCCAAACAAAAACTAGAAAACAAAACAAAACCCAAAAAGATTTGAGAGAGAGAGAGAGAGAGAGAGACAAATGGGGAGGGCCTTCGTGTATGTAATACTTGGCGGTGGAGTCGCTGCTGGCTACGCTGCTCTCGAGTTCTCAAAGAGAGGGATCCACCATGGCGAGCTCTGCATCATCTCTGAGGAATCTGTTAGTTTCTAATCCATTTCAATCTTTCAATACCATTTGCTCGAATTGTTCACTTTTCAGTAATTTATAGTAATTTGGTGAAATGGGTTGGTTGAGAATTTGATGATTAAAGCTTGTTTCAGTGATTTTGGGTCATTGAAAGCTTGTTTGTTATTTTCGATCAACTGGGTTATTGAGAATTTGGAGTAATTGATTGAATTCTTGAAATTGTTAGTGATTTACAGTGATTTGGCGAAATGGGTTTGTTGAGAATTTGATGTTCATTGAGAACTTGTTTGTTAGTTTTGGTCAATTGGGTCATTGACAATTTCGAGTGTTGGTTTCAGATACGTGTAATATTCAGAAATTTGGGAGTATTTGAGAATTTTACATATTCAGAGTTTGGTTGGTTTTGTCTTATAGTTGGTAATTAGAGTATGAAGACTGTTCTTCAAAAGATTTGACTTTAGCATTTGCCTTTGTTGAACGGTTTCTCCTATGTAGGGGAATTTGGAGGATGTCAAATGTTCTTTAGGGATTATGTGAAGCTCCTCTCTTGCCCATAGTTTCTTTTGTGAGAAAAACCCAGTGGAGTAGTTGAGAGAGGATTAATGTTGGGTCAGTAGCCTTTCAGAAAACCTTGTCAAGTCTTTAATGGAACTTTGGCCCCATACGCAACCCTATATTGATAGGACGAGGTTTAGATGATGATGATGTTTTTTTAGTTATTAATTACTATCTAGCTTGTTACACATTTATTTGATTGGCCTCATGAATCCTTTATCATTACAGCTTCCAGTTGGTTGAGTGGCATATCGCGAGAGAGAAATGGTTGGGCTATCATTGATTTCCCTATTATGTTGAGCTATCTAGATATTTTTTTAGGCTAGAGAGAAATTCCTTCATTTGATAATTGTATGCAATGATTTACGCATCTGTATCATAACAAGTTTGTCCTCTCAACACTTTTTAGGAAGCTTATTTATGAAAGCCTGATTTCAGAACATTTAGATACCTCTAAGGCAGATAATAGCTACATGATTACATAGTTCCATTTTTGAGTAAATTGAGCAGATTAGCTCAGAGAGGAGAAGCCTTGTCAAGTCTTTTGTGGAAACTTGGGCTCATGGCCTATACCATTTGATAGGAATAGACTTAGCTAATGATGATGAAGATGGTGTTATTTAGTAACTATTTACCACCTAGCCTGTTATAAATATTCTTGAACTTTGGTTGGCCTTATGACGTTTCACATGATAACACATTCCTTCGTCATTACAACTTCAGATTATTTGACTGGCATATTGCTGAGAACTTGATAATTTGGTGACAGTTTTTCTTTAGAAAAGGCATTGTTCACCTTGATTTCCCTATTATGCCAGGTTGATACTTTTTCAAACTAAATAAATTTCTTACAAAATTGGTCCTCTTAACACTTATGTGTTGACTTTTTTTATAATTACTGCTTTTTGTGGTTGCAATATTGAAACCTATTTTAGTTTTTTGTCTTTTTCTTTTTCTCTTTTTTTCCCTTTTCTTTTGACAGAAGTTTGTGCTCATTCATATGGGCACGGATCACCTTTGAGTCATTGACATATTCCTATCCATGTACGATAACCTGTACTATGATCTGATAGTTGTTTTGGTTCACAAGAAAATTACTAAATGTATATATCTTTAATGAAGCTTATGATATATTTTCATAGGCATATTATAATTAAGATGCTCAATTGCTTATTTATGAGATGATGATTTCAGGACATTTTAGATACTACTTGGGAATATAATTGCTAAATGATTGCTTGTTTGGATACAGATATTGGCACTAATTGAAATAAATCTTATATATTTGCTCATTAGAAATTTGTTCAAGATTTAGTAGTAATGAAGTATTGTAGGAATAACTATACTTTTCATCACCCAAGCAGCCCAGGATTTACTTTATTCTCTGAAAAGTAGAAATAAGCTGATCTATATGCTATTGCTTAGTTGTCTAAAAATGTTTATGCAATATAAAATACTTAAGGTCTATCTGAAGGAATGAGTTATTGTTTTCTGTGGATTTGTATATACGGTTGCATTCTATTCAAAAACCTCCTTTAGTCATTATTTCTTCAAGCAAATGTTAGTCTAATGTGAAATATTGTGATTATTGCATGCAGGTGGCACCTTATGAACGACCTGCATTAAGCAAAGGGTATTTACTTCCAGAAGGTATTATTCATCTTCTGTGTAACCCTAGGATTTATTATTGGTTTAAATAGTCCATATACATAATTCGTATAAAATTTGTTTGTGTTCACATTCATGAGTGCACATGGACATCGAAGCAATAATCGTATTTTTGTACATACCCTAAAATTTCTGTTTGTTTAATATGCCATCAGACCGCAAAGTATATCCTGAAATGACAAAAAAAACCGTCATCATGTCCATTCTTATTATCTTTCCGGAGTCCTAACTAAAAGAGGCAAGCTTTTCTCACGATTAAGCTAGAAAAAGAGTCCTTAGCTATTAGTGGGACATCAGAGCAAATTATTGTTGGTAAACATCAAGGTTTCAATTTCTCACTCTTTCGTCTTCTTTTTGTCCATTTACAGATTGGAATCAAATTAGTTTATTAGACCTTTGTCTAATACTTCCTTGGTATTTAATTTGATTCGTAAACATGCTATGACAAATATGATTGAGCAATTTACTTAGTTGATCTGGAACCATGCCAACCTCTGTTCCAATTCTATCCCTTAGTTTTGCTTCATAAGAAGTTCTGCGACTCGATCATCTGACACATCAAAGTGAGTGCATATTGTTAATTATTTTATATAGCAGTTCAAATATTTTTTTGAATTCTTTATATATTTCAGTTATATTTCAATTTAGTTTTACAACTTGCTCGAGTCTTCCAGTTAAGTCAAACTAGTAGAGACATAATTATTATACTTTCAACAGTTGCAGTATAGTGCGGGAGTATCTTCCCATCTATTTGTGGCTGCGATCATTGTCTTTTTAACTCTAGTAATCATTCTAATCATGCAAGTGGTAGTGATTTTTCCTTAGTATGTTCCCTAGAAACTTCTAAGATCGACCTTAAGTTGAGCTGTTTAATCTTTTATGTAATTTCCCTGTTAATGTGGTCCTAAGACTAAACTTTAGGTCATGGTTATTTGCAGCTCCTGCACGTCTTCCGTCTTTTCACACTTGCATAGGCGCCGGTGAAAAGAGGTTGACACTGAAATGGTACAAGGAGCATGGTAAATCTTATGTAATTGCAACCTATTTGAATTTCCTTGCAAATGTCTTCTTATCGAGTAATTGTATTTGTACTCCAAAAAATGCATCTTTTGATTTCAAACTTGATTTATAAAGAAAAAAGAGTAATCGCATGAAATGATCAACACTTGAAGGCCACTTTTGACATGTTCTTCATTCCATATTTTGTTATATTTAGTCGGTGAATTGTCTCTTTATCTTGGATTGGTATTAGTACTCATTTATCTCAAAGCATTGTTCTTCAAGGATATAAATAAGCGTGGCTATCAAAACTGCAACTTTTGTTCAACTCGGGGAATTGTATTTGCCAAGAATCTTATTTCAGTACTGGTGTGCAGTTTTATATGTATCCAACTCTTTCTAAATTTTTCTGTCTATATTTTGCTGATTCTCAGCTCTAACTTCTAATTTCACTGCGTAAAAGGATATTTATTAACTAATTTTACTCATGTGTAACAGAAGTGATGAAATGGAATCTTAAAATAAGAGAAACATTAATGAACATAACAGTAAGGAAATTATGTTACTGTTTGTTACATAGGTAAATGACTGCATGCATAATAGTGTTGGGAGGTCATATTAAAAATAAAACGCGGAGAATCAATTGACATTTTTACATGTGCAAGAAGAAGAATTAGTCCACCAGTTATGAATGGTACAGGAATAGGGAAATGTTAAAGCATTACTGGGTTTGATGTAGATATAGGGTTGTTAACTTACAGAAGAAAAGCAACTCATCAGAGCTGTATGGACATGGAGAAAAATGATTCATGCAGTTCAGCGGAAAAATTTGTAATCCAGATCTTCTTATTGCTGATAACTAGGGAAATAGAAAAGGATGATTTTAGAAGCATTCTCTGCATTGTTGTCATTTTGCAAGGAATCTGAAGCAAGTCTAGAGAGCTGCAGCTATATTTTGAGATGCTTAACAAATAATGTAGCTCTTCCATTTACTGTATTTTTGTGGATTTCCCTCTAAGTTTCCTTTCTTACTTTCCATTTTTATTTAAAATCAAATAATGGGAAATGACTTTCTGGCTTGCTTCTTCTTTTACTTTCTGTTATTACTTGATAATGCCTTACTTTCATTAATTTATTTATCTTGTTACTGATCAATACCCTTTCTTATTTAGGCATTGAGCTGATTCTTGGAACTAAAGTAAAATCTGCTGATGTGAACCGGAAGACGTTAATCACTTCCAATGGAGAAACTATTAGCTACAAAATTCTCATAGTGGCAACAGGTGCTCGGGTACTAAATTCAAATCCTAACTATATATTCTAATAAATATCGTATGAGAACATTACATTCTTAAAAAGTCTTGATATAATTGAACTGTGTGTATTGTGTCCTTAGGCTTTGAAGCTTGAAGAATTTGGAGTGAGAGGATCAGATGCTGAAAATGTTTGTTATTTACGCAATTTGAACGATGCAAATAGACTTGTAGATGTAATGAAAACCTTTACAGGTGGCAATGCTGTAGTAATTGGTGGGGGTTATATTGGAATGGAATGTGCAGCTGCCTTGGTTACAAACCGAATAAAAGTAACTATGGTGTTCCCTGAGGCACATTGTAGTAAGTAAATTCATATTTATATTTTATTACCGTGTTCTCACTGATTACAGTGTGACTACAATGCAAAATATGTTCAGAAAATTGTTTGTTTCTACAGTGGCTCGTTTGTTTACACCAAAGATTGCTGATTTCTATGAGGACTACTATGAATCAAAGGGAGTAAACTTTATAAAAGGAACAGTGCTTACATCTTTTGAAAATGATTCTGAAGGGAAGGTAATGATAATAGGTCCTCAATAATCTCATTTGAATTATTTTTTCAAATTGTTCAAGACCTATGAATGGGATATAGGGGAAGAAATAATTTGGAACTGCTCACTTTATTTTATTTTCCATGAAGTTGGAATCTCCGTGCAGTATTAATTTCTGTTATTGATTCTTGCAAAATTTACTTTTGATCTAGAATCTGTGTTGATATCAAGCGTTGTTTTGACCAATTATTCACACTCAAATTCATTCTCTTTCTCTCACTGGAAAAGTTCTCATTTACCCATAGCTTTTTGGGAGTAGTTAATAGAAACGCTCAGATAGCTACACTTTTGTGGCTGCCGGATTTTGTTAGAAAACATGTCTGTGGTTTGCAGAATGCATTTTCCCATTTGGACAATGGCGGCAACCATAGGAATTTTGGAAACCACTACTTTTTTCATAGTTTATAGTTGTTACTGGTTAATTGAGGAGATGCCCCTAAAAAAGAATTAGGCTACTCGTAATTTTTAGGAAAAGGGTTTTGGTGTTGATATCATACCTTTGGATGTCCTAATTTATGAAATTTTTACTATTTTAAAATTTTTAAATATAGTAATTTCCTTTAGCAGGGCTTTCCTTTGTTATAATTTTCCTTTCTTATTAGCGTTTGCGTATCCTATAATATTTGTTTATATAAAGGATATTTACCCCTCCAATGACCAATGAATAAATAAAGATGTCTTTTCTTGACAATTTTATAGTTGTTGGCCAAGGAGGTGTGCCTTAAAAACTTAATGAAAAAGATTTATGTAGGCGACCCAAAAATTTTAGGATAAAGGTGATATAATCAGCATTTAGACTTTTTAGATGTCCTAATTTGTGGAATTCGAACCTGAGCTGCTCTAAATCACTATGCGTTCCTGTGCAGGTTACGGCAGTAATCCTAAGAGATGGGACCCGAGTCCCAACCGACATGGTTGTGGTGGGCATCGGAATCCGTGCAAATACAAGCCTCTTTGAAAACCAACTAACCCTAGAAAAGGGCGGGATCAAAGTCAACACCCGTATGCAAACAAGCAACACCTCAATTTATGCAGTAGGAGACGTCGCATCATTCCCTGTGAAACTCTTCAGTTCTGACATCCGCCGCCTCGAGCACGTCGATTCCGCTAGAAAGACTGCAAGGCACGCTGTTTCGGCCATCATGAACCCTAACAGCACCGGCGATTTCGATTACTTGCCATTTTTCTATTCGAGAGTATTTACTCTTTCATGGCAATTTTATGGAGATAATGTTGGTGATGTTGTTCACTATGGAGATTTCAGTAGTGGTAGATTTGGAGCTTATTGGGTGAATAAAGGAAGAATGATTGGGGCTTTTCTTGAAGGAGGGACTAAAGAGGAGTATGAGGCGATTGCCAAGGCTGTTAAGCTTAAAATGACCGTAAAGGACATGGGCGAGTTTGAGAGGCAAGGGATTGAGTTTGCTTTGAAGGGTGATCGGGAGGTGAGCTCTGAGATTGTAAGTGGAGTTATGGTGGAGAAACCAGCATATAATTTCCATGCGGCCGCTGGCGTTGCTGTGGCTGTGTCGATTGCTGCGTTTGCTTATTGGTATGGGAGGAGGAGAAGGAGGTGGTAATATTAAATGAATGTTTGTGTTATGATGATTTATACATGTACACTTGTGTAACAGTAAAGTTACTGTAAAAAAATGGTTATTTAGTTCAACGAATTCATTGGAGTTCTATGGTTCTTGTAGATTTTGTTGCATTATGTCTGAGGCTCTGGATTGTTGGTTTCGGTGTATGTTTCATCTGATGCTGTGAAGTATTCCTTTGCTCCTGCAGTTGAAAACTCATTGTATGTAACCGTCACATGACTTCATACTCGAGTTAATTTTGATCCTCTCTTCCATGATCATAATATTAAGACAAGATTTCCAAGTTTGATATGAAAACCGAAAATATATCTCACGTCTTTCTGATGCGATACATGAACATAATACTTCCCTTTAAAAGTTACAGTGGGTGTAAAGTATCATGTTTTGATTCACCGAAGAACTGTCTATACTCGTATTAGTGCAATATAAGGGAATTAGTGATCGGTGCATTGATCCAATAGTTTTATTTTCTCGAATAAATTATTATTATCATGATATTGTTGATGTCAGTTATTAAACATGGGGTTTATGTGTGGATTATGGAGGTGTTAGGGTCCCTTGATCTTCTTTGATGGCTGATCCCTAATAGACTGTTGAGCTTCCTGCAAAACTGCAACACGTTAGAGGACCGGAGTTGGGTTCTCTGGTGATTCCTCCGATGATCAAATCGGTATTTAACCTTGAGTGGAGAAATAATATGGAGATAGTGTGTTTTTAGCAAGAGATTGCTTACACATGTGCTGCAGACAGTCCCTCTAAGGGGCAATTTTGTAATTTAGGCCAAGCCCAAGCAGACTGCTTAGTCAGCAGTTACTTTACATGTGTCGGTTGTGGGTGACATGAGTCACATTTGTGATCAATGTGATGGTGACAAAGGAAGCATGATGTTGATGGAGCCTAATGAATCATAAAGCCTATGGGGCCTAGAGCAATAATGACTCTAACAATACATTTAATTTGACGGTGACTGGCGGTTGGCGTGGAGCTCAAGGATGACTGCCTTTTGACCCGACTTAGGGAGAATGGTCGACTAGGCCTGGCGAGAAAGGATGTCTGCCTCGGCCTGGCGAGAAGGGATGACTGTCTCGATCAGTCGAGAAGGGACGACTCGGCCAGTCGAGAAGGGACGACTCGACCTAGCGAGCAGGGATGCCTGTCTCGGCCTAGCGAGATGGGACGACTCGGCCTGGTGAGAAGGCTCGCCTCCTGGCGAGAAGGGACGACTCAGCCTAGAAAGAAGGGTCGCCTCCTGGAGAGAAAGGACAATAAGTACCATATTTTTAGTCAGCCTTGTAAGTTGTCAACTCAGCCTGGTGAGAAGGGATGACTTGGTCTTGCGAGAAGGGATGACTCGGTCTCGAGAGAAGGGATGCCGGTCTCGGCCTAGTGAGAAAGGATGACTAGGCCAGGTGAGAAGGGACGACTCGGCCTAGCGAGAAAGGGTGACTCGGCCAGGTGAGAAGGGATGACAAGCACCGCCTTTTTAGTTGGTCTCGCAAGTTGTCGACTCGGCCTGGCGAGAAGGGATGACTCGGCCTGGCGAGAAGGGATGACTCGGCCTGGCGAACGTGGGATGCTTGTCTCGGTCTGACGAGAAGGGACGACTCGGCCTGACGAGAAGGGACGGCACGGCCTAGCAAGAAGGGATGCCTCCTAGCGAGAAGGAACGCATGTCTCGGCCTCACAAGAAGGGACGACTTAACCTGGCGAGAAGGGGTGCCTGTCCCGGCAAGGCGAGAAGGGACAACTCTTCTTTTGGTATGTCTGCATTGAGTTGGGGTGTAGTCTGCTTGGGACACGCGTCAACAAGTTGAATGCGATTAACACTTGTTTATTTCTATGGCACAACAGATATACATGTATGTATACATAAAGAAATGTTATAGTGGTGCATGGAGAAAAAATTCCAGTGAATTAGTGCACAGCAATTTGCAAAGGGGTTGGAGATTTTATTGAGTTCATTCAAGAATGCATTGAGCACAGATGACATGATACTTTCACCACGTGCATGCGCATATGCTTGTCTTGTGGATGGGAGTGTAATTCCCAGTTGGATTTCTTAAAAGCAATCTCTGATGTCAAACTTCACATGTCTATCTATAGATCATGATAGTTGCGTATATCCACATAATACAGAGAATCAAATTCTCAGGCTTCACAGAGAATCACAATCCTAGTTCATGGGCTTAGCATTTTCAAAAGCATGATATGAAGAGCAGGATATAGCACCTTGTAGCTTATGTTCTTCGTTTCTCTCTGTTTGCTCTCCACTCCATCTCTTATCTTGGTCACTTCCACAGTTCCACTGCCTACTTCTCTCCTCTCTTCAGCGACTGATCTAATAAGGAAAATGAAGAAACAAGGTGAGCCTATTGCTCTCAAGTAGTATAAATACTATTCCTCTCTCAAGATATTCTTGTGTTATCTTCCAACAAAAATTTCTTATCAGAAATTTGTTAAATTTTGCCTACGACGTGGCTTGTAAATTTTATAGCGGTCAAATTCAGATAGGATGGTATAGGAAAAAAGACACGGCCAATTTGAAAAGGTATAGGGGAGAGGAAAAAAATATAGTCTTCTTGATATGTTGTACCGGGGAACATCATTTCAATGGATGAAAAATCGAGAATTGTTTTGGCTGCAATGAGAGATTGTGGATCTTTTTTTTATTTTTTTGAGAAGTAAATAAATGCTTTATTAATGCTACGTCAATACAGCAAGATAGTGTAAAACACAAGCATTAATTATAAGCGAAGAAAATAACAACGCTAAAAACTAAATCTCACACAAACGAAAATAGATGCTCTATCTTCTTCACCAGGAATATTGTTGGATTTTTTGGTCAAAACCGCTTTCCAAAATGAGTTTTCAAACTATATATATTAACTACAAGTACTTTTCATAAATGCTTAGTAGCCTAGTGGAAAGTTAAAGTTTTGGTGTTTCAAAAGGTCTATTGTTCAAGGCTTGCCAACGACAAGCCGAGAAATGTTTTATTTGAATTAATCGCTGATAAGTTCTAGTAAGCAGTGGGCCGTGGGCCGGGGATCAGGGCTAATCGGGCTGAGACGCTAAGTGACGCTTTGTTAGGTGCACTTTGCACTTCGTACAGAGGCATCGGGGCGATGTGGCGCTGTTTGGCGCCACGTTGGTTGCTTCGCAGCATGCGGACGAGCTACGCATTCGCACGAGGGTGTGACCCTAGCGTTCTCGAAGTCAGACGAGGTTCGTCAATTGGTTGACGAGGCTCCACTTGTTCGACGAGGTTCGTTTGATTCACAAGATCAGATGAGGTTCGCTCGTTCGATGAGGTTCATCTGTTATACGAGGTTCGCTCATTCGATGAGGTTCATCTGTCATACGAGGCTCGCCTGTTTGACAAGATTCGCTCGTTCGCGTCTATCACACGAGGTTCGTCTATCACACGAGGTTCGCCTGTTTGACGAGATTCGCTCGTTCGATGATGTTCGTCTATCATACGAGGTTCGCCTATTTGACGAGGTTCGCTTGTCATATGAGGTTCGCTTGTCATATGAGGTTCGCTTGTTTGACGATGTTCGTTTGTCAAATGAGGTTCGTCTGATTTGCTGAGACATGACTCTCATGTTACGTAGCAACGCGTCCATTGATTATCTCGTATTCAGGAGTTACTACATGCAGCAGTTACAACAGTATTTAGAGCAATTTAATGCATTAATGTTACAATTTTAATTGCCATTGAGAATTGTAATAGTCACATTAATTTCGAGTGACTCTTGAATTGGCCTTAGAGGCCTATAAATAGCGTCATTGGGCAGCTCAATAAAAAAACACACGCGAGCTTGGAAAATGAACTTCAGATCAAGGAGATCTTGACGTTGTTGTTGTTGTTGTGCTGCTGCTGCAAAATCTGTGCCCGCAGGAACTTGCCCTTAAACCGAAAGGTTCTGAGATCGATGAGATCTTTACTTTAACCGAAAGGTCTTATAGATCAAGGAGATATTGATAGTACTGGGTTGGTACACACCAGAGTACTGTGCTGCTATTTTTGGATGTAGTTTGGCCTTAGGATCCTTACACCGGAGTAGGCCAAATATTGCTTTAAGCACAGTGTTTCTCAAACGCACAACAGTGGGCTAAAAATTTTAAAATTAGAGCACATCATAATTTCTCTATTTTATTCCAGATTTAATCATAATTTCCAATAATCTTAAAGCAATAATTTTTGATCTACAATGGATCCTGGGAGGACTCTTGGAGTGAACTGTCTTAAGTTAGAGAACTTTGATGGATCCAACTTTAACGCATAGCGTTGAAAAGTGATTATCGGGATGCAACTCCTGAAAATCTACTATGTGGTTTCTAAGGAGAAACCTGACTTTGAAGAAGACTCTAAGTCTGAAGCCTCTTGGGCTAAAGATGATCATTTCTGCAGGAGTTATCTCCTTAATTGCTTGGCTGATCATCTGGCAGATGCTTACACCAACAAGCCCTCTGCAAAGGAAATCTAAAATGCTTTGGAGGAGCAATGCAAGGATGAGGAGAAACTTTCCAAGTATCACCTCATTGACAAGTTTCTTGACTTCAAATTCAAAGATACTGAGGTTTTGTCTCAAGTCAAAGAGCTCGAAAAGCTTGTTATGAAGCTGAAGGATGAAAAGATTAATCTTTATCAGACATTCATTTCTGGAGCAATTATCAACAAGCTTCCTTCATCTTGAATGTCATTCTCCACGAACATTCGAAGAAGGAAAAGACATGTGACTCTGTCTGATTTGAAGAGATTCATTCGGATCGAGGATGAGATTTGGACTCGCACGAAGAATGAGCTCCTAGCTAAGCAGAAGATGTCTGCTAATATGGTGGCTACTAACTCTGAGAAGGGTACCAGTTCTTCTTATTAGAAAAAAAAGTCTTTTAACAAAAAGAAGAACCATAATCCGAAGAACCTGAATGTTCAGAAGAAAGATTTCAAGAAGAGCGGCAAATGCTTCAACTTAGGAAGCAAGGGAATTTTACCAAGGATTGCAAAGCACCAAAGAAGGGAACAACATACAATGTTAATCAACTTGACAATTGTGTGGCTATGCTCTTTCAAGTGGCAAC